GTTGTTTATATCCCACTTCAGGGTTTGTATAAAACTCTTTCCATCTCATATTTGCATACCATGGTGGCAAACCTAACGCAGCGTCATTTGACATGGCAGTTTGCATTTGTACATCTGTTGGCACTTGACCATAGTTTGCCATTGCAGTTTGTATTCTAACTTCATTTGGAATATTCTCTGGGTTTGGTTGTCCAGGTTGCTGTGCATTCGCTAAGTTCTGTGCGTCCATTTAATATTAGATAAAAATATCTCTTACGAGTACATATACTGAACATTTACAGGCATTGGTTCATCTTCATATTCTCTGTACTTTTCTGCCACGTCAAATAAATAAATGACACAATGGAAAAAACCTAAAACAAGTAGTCCTATTTCAAACCACATTTACTTACTAATAAAATTTCTTTATTGTGACACTTTCTCCAGTTTATAGGACCTCTCTCATATTCTATCTTGTCATATATAAACTCATAGTCATGTATGTCCTCTAACCATCTCATAACGGTTTCCAAACCACTTTTATCGGATGTAAAGTAAAAGCATGGACAGTTATGTATAACGTCTAAAGTTTCTAAAGAGTCTCTCAAAGTCCAGTCTACTTGGTATTGAAATCCCATGTGTTATAGAACAGCGGGTCCACTATAAAGAAAACATTTTCCTTGTCTTTATATTTTTCATACAACTCTGTCCAATGACATCTCACAAACTCTATACCCTCAATATATTTTTCTATGTTCTCTTTGAAAACATTTGTATAGTTAAGATATAAAACTTTTGACATAAGTGTTTCAATGTCATGAACTCTTATAGCACCACTATATAATAGTCTAGCAGATATACTATCCCAGTCTATATATTCTGCTTTTTCGAGAAAGGGACAAACTATCCAGTGTCACTTTTCAAAGGAATAAAAAAATAATAAAGATGAAATAATAACATGAAATCTTATATAAATATAATTTTATCTAAATAGATAAATGAATTAAGCAGTTTACAGTTATATATATTTAATGAGAGACAATATCTAGTTCTATGGTAGAAATGACTCTTAGACTCAAATAAGTAACACAGATAGAAAGTACTCAGTATAACAATTATATATGTACACTCAAAGTTAGTCGCTGCTAAAATCTTAACCTTGCATTTCGGGAAAATCTGAAATGGCTCTTAGACTCAAATAAGTAACACAGATAGAAAGTACTCAGTATAACAATTATATATGTACACTCAAAGTTAGTCGCTGCTAAAATCTTAACCTTGCATTTCGGGAAAATCTGACTAATGGCTCTTAGACTTGTTTTGATAATTAATTCTTCAATTATATTATAATTTATAACAAATTTCCTCAAACTATCTGTATGTCATTCAATTCCCGGCCACTACATTCAATGATGGACCATTTCCTTCAAATTTTGAAATACCTTATTCAATTTGTTGTATGGAGCCCGTGATATTCAACACTATGGAGCTCCTCCAGTTTGGTATCCAAGAAGAGATAAAAGCTAGCATGGGCTACTCTCAAAAATGCAGGAAAGAATACTCCACGATCGAATACAAATGTAAGTATCCACAATGTCAAGCTAAATTCAAAGTCCGGATAATAGATCAAGATAAATATGAACTACTAATCCACTCTGACTCTCATGATCATTCTGCACCTCCGAAATCAACAAAAACAATATCCTCATTATTTGTCAGAAATTATCTTAAACATTACTTTGAAAACAATATGAATCATGCTACAGCTCAACTTAAGTGTTTCCAAGACTTAAATATTTCATATACAGACGAAGAGTTACTTTCAATATTTGCACAAGGTCCAGATGCATTACGTAAATTTGCTCAAAGAGCTGAAATTGTTTCCAAACGCTTTAGTTCGGATGAAAAAGTTTCTTTAGCTATCTTTGTCGAATCTGTTCAAGAAAGTTGTCCAGAAGATTTAATTGAATTTATCTCTGAGCCGGGAAAACTAGTTTTTTTATATGCACCTTTCGAAGCGAAGGCCCTTGGTCACCAAATTTCTACGTTTCACATCGATTCAACGTATAAACTTCTAAGGGCTAACATTCCATTATATGCACTCACAGGAAAAACAGAACATACTATTGTTTTTCCTTTTTTGTATTTCTTTATTTCTCCTGACACAAGCGAAAATATTCAATATTGTGTTTGTCGTTATTTTCAATATATTAATAGAGAACCCGAGATGATAAGTATGGACTGCGCCCCACAAATAGCCGAGGCAATTGAGCGAGGTATTCCAAACTGTCATATTCTTTGGTGTGGCGTGCATGTCCTTCGCGCCATATTAAGAAAAGCGGATAAGTTTAAATCACGAGACAATTTTGAAGAATTTTATAATCTAATGAAATTATTAGTATTCGATACTAAAGAAGAATCTCCCGAGGAAGAACAGAACCAAGAAGAAGAAAATCCTAGAGAGGAACCAGCTCAATCTCACTTACTTCAAGCAGAAGAAATTGAAGAAGAGGAACAATATGAAGAAGAATTCATCGAAAATGAATTTCAACCTTCTCAAATCTTTTTACCACGAGAATCTTCTGATGATCCAAACGATTCTGAATTTATTCCAGAAGAAGAAACGTTTGAAACAAGTGAAGAAGTTCCAGAGCACCTCACTCAAGAAGAAGCTGCAGACCTAGATGCAGTTTATGATCGAATTCTTGAAATTCTTTCCACTGAACCGAAAGCCCAAAAGTACTTCGATAGGCAATGGAGGCATCATTTAGATCGTTGGAATAAGCGCTATCGCAACGGAGGTGACGCGACTAATAACGTCAGTGAGTCACATTTCAAAGTTCTCAAGCATTCTTATTTCCCAGAGAGAAGGAATATTCGATTAGACGATTTTGTTGTTGAATTATACACAACGGTTGTTCCAGCATTATTGATTAAATTTAAAGTTCAATTAATCAATAGTGATAAAGTTGTTCGTATATTACGAAAAGCTAATGACCATGAACAAATATTGGAAAACAAAAAAGTCGAATGTTTGAAAATGCTTGAAGCAATATATTCAAGTTTGCAACAAGGATCAATAGATTCAAATCTTGTTTATTGTACTTTAAAGGTACTTTTAAAAAAGAAACAATTAATGTAAAAGATTCAAATAATTTTTTATTATTATTTTATTAATTTTTTAAAATAAGGTTAATAAAAAGTGACACTGGATAGTTTGTCCCACACTCTGCTTTTTCAAAACCTCTCTCACAATATTTTTCTTATCTAATGGTATACGTTCCATCTTACCTATAGGTATCTTTTCTTTTAACTCTTTCAATATATTGTTTGTGTCTGGAATATGTTTGAGACGGTCCATATAGTTGTCGAAGTCATTGCATATAATCTTTGAGTCTGGGAATATTGTATGACATAAATGGGATATATAGAAACTTCCACCGAACAAATCTACAAATGTTAGACCATTCGGTAGTTTCTTAAGTTCTCTCAATATAATATCTTTACATCTACTCTTATTTCCAAAGAACGGTAACGGTGGTTTTGTAAAATTCATTTATATATAATAATAAAAATGTTTTTACCCGAAAAGTGACAGAAAAGTGACAAAACATGAAAACATATATAATTTGTGAAAAGCGACACAAAAAGTGTCACCGGCTGGTCGGCTGGGGTTCGGTCCTCCTCTTGGGTCTTGGGCAAAATTTCTTATGGGCTAGAGGGCGCAACGCGCCTGGAAGCCCTCCGAATATAAACTTCATTTATACTAAACATCTTCAGGGCTAGAGGGCGCAACGCGCCTGGAAGCCCCACTACCTTTTTTTTGAAAATGACTAGATATAATCTGAACTTTTGAATTCATACATTTTTGGAAAAAATTGAATTTTCAAAAAAAGAGCTTATTTAGGTATGAACCTGAAGAGAAATTTTAAGGAAAATATTAAGTTGTGCAATTTGCTACTGTATGAGTAATGTATATAGATAGAACCAGCTAATCTCAATATTTGATTCCAATTTATTTATTATTTTACATTTGGATCTAATTTTATAAGAAAATATAGATGGATATCAAGTTCACTTTAAAGAGAATGAAATTAAAGTCTGAGATAAATCATTTTTAATTTTAAACGGCAACTTTCCCACATGCGAGAATACTCACGAAACTATTAATCCAAGCAGTCATACATGTATTTCAACATTCAGTCTAGCTATTTTAGACGATCCTGCAAAAAATATTGATAATACGTGAAGTTATTGACTCATTCATTAGATTTTTACGTTGGAACCATCTTATTAATGAATTCCATAATGCACTTGGATGTACTCATTATATTGACAAGCGCACAACTCCATTTTCCCATGATTTGATAATTCAAAATTTTATCCTGAATCAATTACGGAGCTTCTGCTTCAAATATTGAAGATATACATATTGTTAGATTGTTTTGTAAAAGAATTTATAGTACTTTTTAAAAAACCGTTTTTGCAAAAATCTCGGGAACAAAATCCCCTCAATTTTATTTGAGAAATTCGTAAACTATTCAAAATTGAGAGCCATGTTCCCGAGATTATTGCATTACTATATTTTTCATTCATGAATTTGTCTATAACACATAAGATATGTGGTAATGCATCAACAAAAACATAAACGTTGTTCCCTATATCGAAATCTCTATCTGAATAACCTATGAAATCCATAATAACAGAAAAATCTTCTTTATCTTCTGAAGCCAATGTGATAATTCCTTTCTGGAATGCCTTATAGATCTGGACAGCAGGAAAAATGATAGATTTGAAGGTGATCAAGCTCGGATTAATTCTAAGCAATGTAATTGTCATCTAATAAGGTTCAACAACATGTACTATTTCCATCATCACGTTTTTGTATCCAAATGCAAGGAGAGTGACTAAATCTTCAAGGATCTCATGTTTGATCTTATATGATATGCTACGAAAGAATAAAAATGAAAATGAAAATTCTTAAAAATATGAAATATATATATATAAAAACACAAACAACTTTATATTGAAAAATTATCCATTAAAAATGGGTCATCAATAGCAGGGAAATGGAAAATTTCCTTGGTCTCATATAAGTTAAATTCGTGTGGGAATAGAGATAATGAAAACTCAAGATCAATTTCGTCATCATTGTCTGTAACTCCTGCAGGAATTGGTATTATTGGCTGAACATCTGTATTTTCGACACTCTTCTGAGAATTTTCTTCTGGAGAAGAAACCATTTCTTCATCCTCTGAAATTAATTTCGAGGTTTGGCCACTTTTGAATTGGCAAACTATATCTAATATCTTCTTTCCAGCTTCTGTTTCAAGCCACTCGAAGTTTTTGGGAACTGATTGGGACTCTAATAACGTTTCAATTCCTCTTGAGTGGGATCTTAAGCATGAAATTGCTTCAGGTGTAGTTAGAAATGTATTAAAGAGATTCCAATTTGAGTAAATAAACATAATGAACTTTCTAATTGAGAATAACTTTTCGCAGGCTTCGAAATTAGTGCAATACCACTTAAAAACGGTTTCTTGAGTAAGTTGAGGATAGAACTTATCCCAAGAAGATTGAAGGAAGGCTAACATTCCCTTCCTGGTTCTCCAATCGCATCTGACAGTTCTGATTCCGAATTCTTTTGCAGTCATCTTTACAAGGATTGCTAAGAAATCTCTTCTAAGTAATCGTGAGTATTGTTTAAGGTGTCCTTTAATGTTCTCGAGAGACTCAAGTTGCTTGCTTGTACTTTTCGTCATTAAAATGAAATGAGGAATCCGTATTTGAAAAAATCTTATTCAATTTCAATCAGTAATTTCAAATCAATCATAAGAAAGTTAGGCTATGGTCCGAATATTTTTTTTGGTTATTTCTACTTAGCAGCATTCCAGTATTGTTATTACATAGATTAGAAAATTGATAGCGGTTGTGGTCAATATTTAGAAACCTTCACAAATTTTGAAGAGTAAATTTAATCCTCTTCTTGGAAAATATACATATTAAACTGTGTTAATTATACCCCTGATTTAAGATTTAATCCTTTGAAAAAATATTCAATTGCAATGGTATGTAAATGATGAAATAAATATTTTTCAATTATTTTTATATTTATACAGAATTATTATATTTCATTTCATTATGGTTGCATAAAATTGTGAGAGATAATCGTGCTTATTTGAATAATTGAAAGCTCTCCCATCACCCTTCGAACTCGTAATTTTGATTAAATTTTGACTACCAAAATATGGTTATAACATGGTTAAAATCTCTCACAAAAAAAGTAAGGCAAACCCAAATTTTAGCTAAAAGTGACAGGGGGAAAAAACGTTTAGTATTAAAAAAAAAGACCGATGAGAGCTTCGTTCGAAATATAGAGGGAACTGAGAATGCGCAACCATTGTCAGGGAATATTGGATGCTATTCCCGTTCCCTCTGTATGGAAAATTGAGGTTTTCAAAGGGAGTTAAAATAATATCAAATTTATACTAATTTACTTCAAAATACAAAAGTATTTGACAGCTAAAATTAGTTACTTTAGCAAGCCTATCAATACCCTATTACGATTATTGTTACTTTTTCGAAATAAAAGTAAAAACAAATTTATACTAATTTACTTCAAAATACAAAAGTATTTGACAGCTAAAATTAGTTACTTTAGCAAGCCTATCAATACCCTTTTACGATTATTACTACTTTTTCGAAATAAAATAAATTTATTATCAAAAACCTTTTTTTTCTTAGTAAAAATAAACGAAATTTTTTACCTTATGAACTTTTGATGGAAATATGCAAATTTAAAATAATAAAGAAAGCCGCGAGCGAAGCGATCGGCTTAGTTCAAAGATTTTGAGAGTGCGGGACAAATTTGCCAGGTGTCACTTTTTCAATAACCTTAAATTACGCTTTTCTAATTTTAAAAAAATAACCTTAAATTATATTTGAAGAAATTATGTCTATGATATATGTTTTATGCTAGAATCTTGGAGTTTTCATGCACTACACAAGAGCTCCAAGGTTCCAAGAGTGAATGCTCAATAGCAATTATAGAGATGTACCTTTTCAAAATGACTTTTACTGATTAAATTTAATCAATAGAAGACATTTTGAAAAGGTACCTCTACAATTAGATATACAAGAGATTCAAAGCTTCATTTCAGATAGATTTGAAACTTTGAAACTCTTGGTAGATTTTGAGTGAATGCTGACAATCATCTTTGAGAAGGTTTTCTTTAAGAAAACCTTCTCAAAGAGGTTTCTCAGGAGCCCTGAGGCTCCCTTTCGTAATGATTGGGAGCCTTGGGGCTCCTGAGACGAAGAATGGCTTCGCCGAATCTTTGATCAGCAGAGGCCAAATGAAAAGGCCTCTGCTGATGGATTCTCAGGAGCCCTGAGGCTCCCTTTCGTAATGATTGGGAGCCTTGGGGCTCCAGTTAGTATACAAGTCTTGGGTACTGTGGCACTGCGTTCCACCTTACCCAATACTTGTGAATTTGACACTTTACAAAACCATTAACGTGTATTTTACAACACAAACGACAACACAAACGACAACACTAACCTAACCTTAAATATTTACAAAACCACCAACCACTTCACTAACGAACTCACTAATGTAAAAATAAACGTTCTCACTATCGTTCTCACTAACGACTTCACTAATGTTCTCATAAATTTTCCTCAATATCTTCATCATCAGTGTTAACCCTATTGTAGTCATACTTGAAGCCATAAACTTTCTCTAACTTCTTAACGTACAATTTACATAACTTACCTTCGTCATCGTATGGTTTAATGATATAACTATTTCTATCTTTATACACAGTCAATGAAAAGTCAACTGGTCTCGGATGTATTTGAAAGAACATGTTATGCTCAGGAAGGAAGAATAAATGTTTAAATGTATGTTTGTTATACTGTGGAATTCGAATGAGTTGCTTTTGTTCTGTCATTTACATCCAAATAAAAAATTTCAGTAAACTTAAAAATAAAATAAAAAATTAATGATATCACCACCCTCACACGTATGAAAACATAGCACAAAAATAAATTTAGGTGAAGTGGTGAGATCTCACCTCTTTTTTCACCTGTTTTTTCACCCACTTGAATTCATTACTTTATAACTCTCTTCCTTTATCCAACTCTTCTAACTTCTTCTTAAGTTCAGCAATGTTGTCCTCATGAAGTTTAATCTTTCTCAAAATTCCTTCTTTATCTAATGGTTGCTTTATCTTTCTAAACTGAACTCTACCATCTTTCATAGTATGAATGTAAAAACCTTCTGGAATAGTTCCTGATTTAATGTATTCTACCAAAAACTTTTGTTTCATTGCTTCAGTGACTTTAGTCGTCATTTCAATCAAATAAATCGTAAAACTCCTGCGTTTCCTTACTGAAAAATAACGTTTGAAGATGCTATTAAAAGTAAAGCTGACAAAGTTGAACTCGAAGCAACGAACAAAGTTTTGAAATCTCATAAACACAACATCTCCGATATAAATGAACTTCAAGCTACATTAGACAGTAAAGCTGACAAGAACCATACACATAAATCCTTCACTACTGTTAGAGCAGACGACATAATATTGAACTTTGACCTTGGTTCAAGTGCACCATTAGAAAATCCAAGTACAAGCGTAAAAGATACTCTTAACAGTTTAGATAAGAGTTGCAGGAACATTGAAAGTAATGCCAGAAACTTTGAAGCATATGAACTACCCGCAATGTTAGATAAGAAAGCAGACAAAACTTATGTAGATGAAGAACTATCAAAGAAATTTTCGAAACCAGATACAATGACATTTACAACAGAAATTATAAATGGTGAACCAGCAACTCCATTTGAATTTGTTAGAGGTCTTCAACCAGATACTTTTGAATTTTTCTTGGATAATTCTATTGAACTAACATTACATTATAAAAGTGGAACAAATGCAACATTTCATCCGGGAGATACATTCCAAATGGTATTTAATGACATAAGTTCTTTAGAATATGTTTATAGAGTTATGAGCATATATGATTTAATATATCCTATAGGAGCTGTTTATACGTCTATGAATCCAATAAATCCAAACACTTTATTTGGTGGTAGATGGTATGAAATAGTTGACAGTTTTCCATTCTACACTAATACTCAGTCAATGAAGATGGGAGGTTCAAAGAAAATAGGTATTGAAAACCTTCCTTCACATATGCATAGGTTCAGTGGAAGAACATCTGTGGAAGGAAACCATTCACATTCAATAACAAAAAGAGGTTATACAAATCTTGCAGCGGGTTCGGATAGACAGGGAATGCATAGATATGATATCACAACTGACCCCAAAGATGTTAGCACAGGTATTTTCTGTGGAACTGCAGGAAATCATACACATGTTGTAGCTGGTATTACAGACCCAGCAGGTAATGGAAAAGATTATATGCCTCCTTATATAACAATGCACGCTTGGATACGAGTTGGTTAAAATCTTTAACTTTACATAAATGAGCTTGAAAGAAGTATTCGAACAACATCCATGGAGGTCATTTAAGAAATTCAATGAAGCTGCAAAGAGTTGGGGATTTACTAACAGAGCTGAAGTGAAAAGGTTCTTTGACAAAAATGTTGTACATCAAACAAAAATAAACCCTTACGACTACTTTTTACCAATTTACTCCAACACTCCTGACGCATACCAATTTGACACTCTCATTCAAAGCAGAAAAGGAGGACATAAACCATTCCTCATCTTCATAAATGTTAACACTCGTAAAGCATATGCATATCCAATGAAAAATAAAGGAACTCGTGAAGTGTTAAGAGTTTTACAAAAGTTTGTAGCAGAACATAACCCAAGTACTTTAACATTCAGACCAAGACAGTGCATACCTCAGCAACGAAATCACAGAATTTCTCATTAAGCATAACATAACTCACTACACTACTGAAGACCATAACCATAACATACTCGGCATCATAAACCGCTTCATAAGAACGCTCAGAGATTTAAATCAAGAGCGAGACTTTACCGAAGAAACAATGAAACATTTTCTCGAAGTATATAATTCCTCAACACATTCTACAACAGGACATACACCAAATTCAATGACACAACAACAAGAAGAAAAGTATATACAAAAGAAACGAAGCCAAACACAAAATATCAGAAATTCAACACAATTTACCCTCATTCCTGGTACAAAAGTTCGTGTAGTTCTTGACGACAAACCGTTGACAAAGAAACGTTTAAGGTTAAGTAGAAACTATTATATCGTAGACTCTACACAAGGTAATGGATATCTTATAAAAGCTGCTGACGACTCCATAGCATTTTACCCTCGACATAAGTTAGTTGAAAGTAGTAATGGCAAACTTGCTGAAACCATTGACGAAGCAAAGCGAGGAGTGGTTATTGAAATACTTGACTACAACATAAACGATGACACTTATAAAGTAAGATATGAAGGAGGCGTTGAAGATGTTATACCATCTAAGAACTTGAGAGAATCTAAACCAACTCATCTGGGACCATTAGAGCGGGAGTACTGGAAAGACAAAAATATGCCAGAAAGAATAAGAAAATTCTTCTAAACTTTTTCATTAGATGTAAATCAGACATGAATGAGAACAATCATGATATCATTAATGGTACCATTTATTTTTGTCATAAATTTACACCAAAAATATATTTTAGGTGAAGAGGTGAGATTTCACCTGTTTTCTCACCTGTTTTTTCACCCTCATGAATTTTCATGAATTTTCCCGAAATAAAAAATAAAG